ATAAAGCACATCTCTATCAGTGTTCAAGATGATTAAAGAAGGAAAATTTTCTTCCTTTTTACACCCATAAATACAGGTGCCTATTTGCAATGTTGCATGATATCAAAATTATTGCAAACAAATTCACCTACATTTTATGTAAAAACCTTGTATTTTGTTTTTGTTCCTAAATGGCTTTCCATACAAGGAAAACAGAAGCATTGAACAATATGTTTCTTTAGCTTTGCCCCAGAAACTGACCTAAGACCAACTCGTTGGTGTCATTGTTGTTTTCCTACTATGTAATAGAAAATAGTTGGATGAAGAGAGAGGTTGAACAGAATAATTACTTAAGATTAATTGCGAAAGACATCTGAGGAGAGCATTTAGGCTATAGGAAGGTAATGTTTTCTGGAATTCCTTTGCCCTAGTCCATTAAAATCAGGGCAGAAGTTCAATTCAGAAGTCCGGGATGTTTCACACTGTTGCTGGTCTGAGTCAGTTTCACATGCATTCATTCTACTCCAATTTCTACATGATGTGCAATTTTTAAAAACAATCGCATGAAAATGTGTACATAAATATATATTTATATGTAATATTTCACAACAATATGTCATGGCAAAGTAGGTATACGCTTTATTATTCAGAAAAAAATTAAGTGGGAAGCACCTCCATGGCTAACAAGCAGAGCCTGTTTATGACAGATAGGTGATGAGCTTACTCCTCTTGCAGCACGAGAGACAGATCGCTTGTGCCCGTTGCTATAAATTGGCTCCCAGCAACACCAAAATGTGTCAGGTTGCCTACTTGTTTTTAAATGTCACTCCCTTCCTGTGAACAAAGTGCATGCTTCACACAATGCTCCATTGTGTCATAATGTTCTGTGCTGGGATTTCTTTAGATCAGAAAGGCTCATTTTTGTTAGTAGCAATTTCGCTGTAGAATTCAGTTTTCTTACATTTAACCTGAGTGGCGTTATCCCAGCCTTCATCAGAAACATTGCCATTTCTCATAGTTCATAGCTGCTATGTAAGCAAAACTTTTTCAGGGAATTCCTAATAACCCTCCTGATTGAGCTGCCACGACTGAGCTAACTGGTGAAGGGAAGGAGGAAAATTCCACACAATGGGACTATCTGAATAGCGATAGGACTGTGTACTAATACTTTTTCAGAACATTCGTGGCAATGTTCTGCAAGTAATTTACAAGTCTAGTAGAAGTGTTCTATTCATTTTGGCATTGTGTTGGCATCCATGTTAGCAGAAAATACACCCTCGTTGTATGCATTGTGGTTACAGGCCATTCACGTTAAAGCCCATCCATTATAAAGATAAATGCAAATCTATGCATAAATGGATCCCCCATCACAGCTTGTTTAGCTAATCCACTGCATCCACTGATATGAGGAGAGGGGGAAATAAGGCTGAATGATACCAGCATACTAATGACACTTAATCCAAAAAGTCCAGGCAAACGTCTTCCAGCAATTCCCTTTTGCTGTACATTTTAAAGAGCATTGCAGGCAGGAGTCAATCTTGCACCACCTCAGACCTAGAAAAATTGCCATGAGGTGGACCAGCATCACCTGCATTTACATTTCACCCAGGTAGTTCATAAGGATATACTTAGAGGATTGGGATTTCAATAGAATCATATTCCCCTATCCTTCTGACACTTATCTTTTCCCCTTACTCTGTCTTTTCTTTCCTTACTCTTTCTTTTCTAATTTCTCTCAACTATAGCAGCATCTCTGTCTTCCAGGAGGTACAGTTGCAGGTATTGCTGAGGGACACAAACAAAACTAGGGAAAGCATTGAGCCAGCCAAGGACTCATCCCATCATTCTTTTGTGTTGTAGGGGAATGGCTCACGATTGCAGCCTTAGACCTCCAGCACATAAAGTAATGGATTACTGTTCAGTTCTGACTGCAGGCATTTTCAGTGGAATTGGTTGCAGGCTGGCAATCAGTCATTTCTTAAAGACCAGCAGAATTCTTCCATCAGCATATTCATGGCAAACACTCCTAGGTCCATTCAACAACTTTGAATCCTGACACGAGGAAATGAGAGGAAAGTATTTCTTTCTTTATTGGCATATGTAAAAGTATTTCATCCCCAGTAATATTTCTTGTGATATTGGTTTGCCAGTTAGCTGGCAGATAAATACAGAATAGTTATTTGGGCTGTCAGCTTACCAATACTGGCATGTCAGTCAAAACTTGTTTTCCCACCCACCCCTGAATAATCAGCAATGGAGCTCATAGGAATGCATAATGTCTCTGCCTGCAGTGTTCTGTTCATAATGAGGAACCTTGCAGCTTCCCATATAAACTGTTTTGAGAACAAAAATGTAAAATTTTGTACATTCATTAATGTCACTTTAACCTAACTCATATACTTTCTCCCGTGTTAGTCCCAATAAATGATTCCTATCCCTCAGTATAAAAAATCTGTTATTCGGATTGCATGTTAATAAGCAGCCACAGTTCAAAACAGAGGCATGCAGAGAAGACAGGGCTGAGCGTGGATCCTACTTTGGCACCACGTTGGCTGTGATGTCGGCATGCGGCAGAAGCAGGAGGACCCAGTGTCTAGCACTGAAGCACTACCACGTTATCCTTGGTGTTACGTATTCCCTGTTCTAGCATGGTTCCAGGCACTTACCAGAAATGACCGTTCCCTGACCCAGAAGGACTCCCCCTCTCTCTGTGCGCACTGTATGTTCGTGGCCTTCCAAATCTCCTGAGAGAGTCATATTTGAGAACTGTCTGATTTAGGCTTCACTGGCTCACAGCACAACTGTCTCACTTCAGGAAAATGCTGAATTTTTCCAAAGTATCCCACTTTTGTTGGAGAATGTGAATGCATACCCCTGACTGAGTCACTATAAATGCAAATTTCTACCCCCCTTTGTCTTATTCATGGATTTTATTTTCCTTCTGGAGTTTATTTTCTACACAGAATGTAGAGACAGGGCTGCGCAACAGAGCACCGTCTTCCACGTAGCACACGTAGTATTCTGGTGGCAGAATGCTCTGCAGCTGGGCTGGGACAATACACATAAAGTAGCCCTTTTTATGCAGATGCCTGCACTGTATGTGCTAATGCTAGGATGGGAATATGTTCCATGCAGAACACTGGAGCAGGGCAACACTGCACAATCGAAGAGTCCCAGATTTCCTATTCAACTGTAAAATAAATGGAACATCTGAATCAACTTCATATGCTACATTGTTTCTGTGAATTTTTCAAGATCTTTGTCATTCTTCGTGTTTGTCAAAGCTTTAACGCAGTATGTGGAAGTCCTGGCAGTCAGGATACCTTCCAAAGACACATTCTTAAGGGACATAAGAGTTCTTAACGGACACATTCTTACTGGACATGGAGATTCCTGATTTTGGCCTTCATTTTTTCCCTATGTACGGAAGCAGACATCTGTATCCATTTCCCCTGCCTAACAATAAAAGCCTCCTTTTCTGGAAAGCAACACAATTGTTATTGATCACTTCCTCTAATCTTTCAGACTCTTCTGATGTATCTTGCTTACTGCTTTTTCCAAGAGTGTGTAGAGGTCAAGGGGTTAGAGGGGAGGGGACGGGAGGCTTGATTTGCAGAGAGCTTCCTGAGTGTCTGAGTTTTGCAGCACAGCTTGCTTTATTGGTACCTAGGGACTGGTGTGGATATTCTTCTGTAGCCCCGAAAGCATAAGTACCTTTTTCTTCGCAGCACCTTCAGAAGCAAGAGCATTTGGGAGTAGGGGTGTGAGAAATTGAAAATAATTGCTGTAGAGTCTGAGTTTGCTGCTAAATTCCATGACGGAGGAAACCAGAAGGATGCTAGATTCTGTAATCCTGGTTGCTAACAAAGAAATCAGGGAATATTTTTTAATCCACATCAAAGCCAGAATGGATCATTTGTGTACACAGTCTTGAAACTTTTAAACATGCTGCCAAAGATCTATATTATTTGTTTTATTTGTAAAAAACATGCAATAACCTGGAATACTTTTTATTTGGCATAACTGGGAAAACAGTATTGATAAACAAGAACCACAAAAGAGGCTCAAAATTAAACAGTTTTCATCAGATAACAATGCAATGCTATTGTACTTTGAGAAAAATCAGAGCACTGTTTTCCTTACATGCTGAACTTTTCTTCCCTCCAGTCCCCTCCCCTGCCCTGCCCTGCCCTGCCCTCCTCTCCTTTTTAAAAAACCAATTGCCTTCCCTCTTTTGTTTCTGGAACCAATTTGTAGTAAGCTATTCACTGCTTTGTCTTCACTACTTTGATCATTCACTATACATACGTATTTATTTCTCCTTCTCCTCCTTCTTGGAGTACTAAGTAACCTCAGCAGATATTTGGTACAAATACAAAGGTTTGCATTTTTTGAAAGTTTTACTTTTATGCCTCCTTGGGAAATGAAAATAGAAGAGAAATAGAAGGCTTGGACAAATGATTTGTTACATGCTGATTATTATGAGAGCAAATAATGCAATTCAAATTCTAAAATGTGTTTTAGACTATACTTCCTATACCATCAGCAGACTTTTCTGTAATTCCTAGAAACATTAACTCTCTGATAATGGGAGTTGAGATTTAATGTCCTGACATTCTACAGAAATAGATAATCCTGAGGCAGCTCAGTGTAAGAGTTGGAGGAAGGGGTAATGGTGAGAAATATAGCAATATAGCCATGCTAGAATGATTTTTTCCTGTTTGCCATGGGCAGTTGACACACAAAGCCGTCTGCTTGCCATTTATCTTCACTGAATGAATTAGAAGTGTTTAAACAACACCAAGTACCATTTAATGTTGCTGTTTTGGTTATGGTTCTCATTTATTCTCATTCTGACGACTCATTCAAGAAAACTTGCAAAGTTTTGGTTCCTTTTAGATTTATGGAATATTAGCTACTAATGCTGCTTAGAAATATTATATATCCTGATAACAAAGGCTTTAGTTTCCTGATGCTATGGTACGTTTGTCCTCTTTCCTCATTTTCTGTTTGTTGGACAGACCTAGATGAATGTTCAGATGGCTTTGTTCAATGTGACAGCCGGGCTACCTGCATTAACCTACCTGGATGGTACCATTGTGAGTGCAGGGATGGATACCACGACAATGGCATGTTTTCACCTAGTGGAGAGTCATGTGAAGGTCAGTAAAGGAACAACATCCTTCATGTGCTGTTGCTATGAATCTAAGTTTGAGAAATGCTCAATATCTCAGCCTTAGGCTGAGCCATCTTTGTGCTGGCCACTGTTCAAACATAAACTGTAAGTTTGCAATACTTTCTGGTTGATGCAGTAATTCACTTCTGCCCAACACCTCTGTATTCCAATACTATATCTGCTTATGCAGCCCTCACCACAGACTGCTACCACTGCCTGAGAGGCAATCAAATCCAAAACCAATCTGTTGTAAGCCGCCCCGAGGCTTCGGCGAATGGGGCGGCATAAAAATGTTTTAATAAATAAATAAATAAAATCTGCATGGAAAGCCATACATGAGATTTTTTTTTTGGTATATGTATATATTATCCTAGAGCCACTTCCCTACCATCAGATGATATACAGAAGAGTTGTGTGTGGGAACTGGGATTCAGCAGATCAAGCAAAATGGGCCTATAGGCAAATTACACAAGTAAGCCTGATTCAAATTTTACCACCCACACCTCTCCCCATGTGTCAGATGTGGGATATTTCCAGAAGGCTGATGGAGATGGAAGGTGCTTACTTTTTCTGAAGAATGGTACCTCTACAGGACAATAACAATAGTAAACAATGATCTCTGCTTTGTCATATACTATAGACCATATTTACCTCTTTGACTATTATCTACCCAAGCAAATAAAGCCAGAGAGGTATTAATGATATGTTCCTCAAAACTATTTTTGCATCTCTTTTTATTTGTTTGCATCTAGTTAGTGCAAGCGCATGTTCAACTTTGTTTTCCTCATTTGGGTAAGAGTTTCATTTCCAAAGGAATCCATCTATTGCCAAACAACTTATATTCAATCTCTCTCTCTCTCATTCTCTCTTACCAGTTTTCTCAGCTTAGAGAAGTTTCATCATTGAAATAAGATGTGACTGAATTGAATTTTCTTGAGAATTTTCTACTGAAATACACCTTAAATCTGATAGCACGTTAATATTCTTAATGCTCCCAGTACTATGTGAGTTTTGGAGCACATTGATCTCACCAGCAGTGTTTCTGTGGAGAAGTCTGCCTCTTTTGTTTTCTAATCTGTCCTCTTTGATGTACAGAGCAATACCTCCTCCAGTATGCCATTCTCTGGCCTCTCTATAGAGGTTATATCTAGAGATAACCATGTTCCAATGGTTCCTCCATTCCACTAGGTTTCTGTTAACGCCTTCTATAGCTATCTTCCTCTTTAAAAACAGGCAGTCCAATACACTCATTTTGGCTTCCAGCACTCTGTATGTGTGTTGTGTGTGTGATTTCTTTCTCAATCAAAGCATGTAGATAGTTATACCCAGGTGTGTTGGACCCACGCACAACAAGAACATTCTTAGCATGTAGTCTTCTAACACAACATGCTATTTGATAGTAGTAGGCTGATTCTTATAAATCAATTGAGAAACATAGAAACATAGAAACAGAGCAAGTCAGAAGGGGCCTCCCGGGCCATCTAGTCTGACTCCCGGCTCCGGCCGACTCCGCTCATGACATGCCCACCATGTGAACAGCCTCACCAGTGGGGCCTTAACCACCTCCCGTGGAAGCCCATTCTACACCGTCGGGGTTCTAACTGTCAGGAAGTGCTTCCCGGTATCTAAATGGAACCTTGGTTCCCTTAGCTTTGCTCCATTGGAACGTGTCCTGCTTGCCTCTGCAGGGGAGAACAGGTCTCTACCCATCTCTGTGTGACATCCTCTCACATACCTGTATGTCGCCAACAGATCCCCTCTGAGTCTCCTCTTCTCCAGGCTGAAGAGACCCAGTTCCCTCAGTCTCGCCTCATACGGCATCCCCTGCAAACTGGCCACCAACTTTGTGGCCCTACGCTGCACTGACTTTAACCTGGCTATATCCTTTCTGTAATGAGGGACCCAAAACTAAGCACAATACTTCAATTGTGGGTGCACCAGAGTCGTATAGAGTGGTAGTAATACCTCTCTTGATCTAGAAGCCACACTTCTGGCTATGCAACCAAGGGTGGTGTTCGCCCTCTTGACCACCGCTTCACACTGCTGACTCATGTTTAGTCTGCAGTCAACCAGCAGCCCGAGGTCCCTTTCACAAGTGCTTCTCTCCAGCCACTTGTTCCCTAACCTGTAAGAATGTTTTCATGAGATTCATCCTTGTTATGATAAGGGCAACGACATGGATTGTTGTGATCTATAAAGACAGAAGAGATTTTCCAAACCTCCAGATGCTTTTAACATCAACTCTTACCATTACCAGACAGTGAATGATCAGGAATGGTGGTAATTGTATTCCAAACCATCTATAAGGTACCAGGTTGGGGAAAGCTGAAGCAGAGGAGCAAATTGTGCAAATCAAACTAATTGGTTTGCATCCAGTGTGAATTTAATTTAATTCTTGTTAATTTAATTAGGTCTGCTCTAGGTAGGAGTAACGTTGAATACAACCCATTGCAAAGTGAGATGCGTAACAGAGACACAAAATTCAGTTATTAATTCTTTTTTATGGAATTGGCTATATTTGCAAGGAGGGTTTTTTGGGTAGGGTTCTTATTTTTAGTCCTGCAATATTTAAGACATTTATTTATCATATTCCAAACAAGTGATATGCAACATGCAGTGGGGTAGAAGCTGAAATGTATTTATACCCCGTCTTTTAAAAATGACATGGGAGTGATAATATTGACATACCACCTGTGTCTGGGCTTGATGGTAATTCTGAACCTTGTCTCCCCCTCCCCTTCCGCCTTTTCCCCTTCCTTTCGCTATATTCAGCAATAATTGACACTATGTTTGGTCCCTGCATTTTCAGTATTTTATGGTGTTTGGTTCTCTGGTTGCAGCTGTAAACGAAATGTCAGCAGCATAATTCACTACTTTTTATGGTTCTTTGCTAGAAGTCCAGAATCAAAGTGCTAAAACAAGTTCTTGCAAGGATTCATGATTTGTGGCATAACACTTTGCAAATAACTACTGAAGTTTGATGCTATTAAATAATGCAAATGTGTTTTTCATTGATGCAGGTTACAGGTCCATTTCCTTGCAATTTTGTTACCAATTTTTACAGTGTATTTAAAAAATATAAAAGTTTCCAGAACAGCTTAAACTCCCAGGAGATTAACTTTCTTATTTAAATCCTTATATATGCATAGTCTAGGGACTCTTTTGGGCACAAGAATGCCTATTTGCCTTCCTACCTGTCTGCACAATGCTAAAACTCTATTGTAGAAGTGTACAAAATATTAAACTTAAAATATTAAAAACATTTCCCAAACATTTCAAAACAGACAATTTAGAAAATATACTGTACACAGCACACCTGTGATGTAGAGGATTTCCTCTCAGCTCCAGCCAGCATAGCCAATGATGAGGGAGTTTTAGTCCTAGAATATCTGGAGAGCCATATGCATCCTATTTCTGTGTTAGTGCATGGAAACACACCAGATTCATAATGGGCAGTATCCAAACCTCCAACTACATTGCCCAGTTGATGTGTTATGGAGGCAGGACCCACTCCTTGCACAACAAAAAGGCAGCACTTCAAAAAGCCATTGTAGAAGCAATCAGAAATTCTTCTCTTTAGATCAGAACAGGTCAATGGAACTCCCTTCTGTGAACAGTACTGACCTGTGCTTTGTCGAAAAGTAGTATTTCTCCTCATTTCCTGTGGTTCACTAGCAGTGATGTTGCCTATAAACTTTCTTTTAAAAAGAACTCATTACATTATTCTCTTCCTAGTACTCTCAATTTTATCCCCATGGATAAAATAGGCATGGTTCCATGTCTGAATGGGGATTAGAAACTGTCGGTTTGGTTCATATTTAGGGCAGACCCATTGAAATCAATAGAATTTATGCTAGTCAGAACCAACTTAAGACCCACTGGTTTCAGCCAGTCTATTCTAAATAAGATGAAATTTGGGTCTGATCCAATGGCTACTACAACTTAATAATCTATTGTGTGATGTGCCACTTTTCTGTTTCTGTGAATAAATACAACCATAATGATTTTATAATTATATTTTATGTTTCTTTTGGTCATTAGTTATAATCTTCATCATGCAAATTATAGGCAACGTCACTGCTAGTGAGCCACAGGAAATAAGGCAGGCTATAAATCTAATTAATAAACAAAAAATAAAATAGTTTAGAAACATTTGCCTAAGTGGCTAAGCACTATTCTTCTTGAAAGAAAATTCCAAAGGAAGAGTACAACCATAGAGAATGCCCAAGACAGTGAGAGGTCTTTAAGTGGGATCTCTTCTGAACATCACAGTATAGATAACAGCATAAATACATTGATGTCTAGCCACTAAGTTTGCTCTGTAATTACACTGTATACTGTAATTATACCAAATAATACTTACCAATCATCACTTAATACTTATTGCCAGTTATTAGTCATACTAGTTATATAGCAGCTTTCTGAGTGGATTAATAGAAAAATACATTGTCTCCTTTTATTGGTCTCCACCCACAAACGCCACCGTTTACAACTAAGGCAGGCCATGGTCCACTAAATATTATGGCCTACAACTTCTATCAGCCATAGGTTTCATAGACAATGGTCAAGGATCATGGGAGCTGTAAGTTAAGCCACCTGGAAGACCACAAGGTTCCCATCCCTGCTTTAGAGCAAACTTTAATTCAAAAAACACTTGAACAGACTATCGTGAAGTGGAAGGTCTTTTTTCTGCAAATCAGATCATAAATGTGTTCAAGCTGATACTTCAGATTTTGTGATTCCTTTATAATGAATGAACCTCAGTGTCACATTTTACTTTTGGATATAAACTTTTTTCAAGCAAGTATGTGTTTATGTGAATTCAGAAGCTCTGCCTAGGCTCTCCATGTAATTGGGGACAGGGGTATCTTATCGCTGATCTTGTATAGCTACTTCTTATAATTGTAGGCCAGTTGCCCCTATGTAAACCATTCTCTATTTTGTGATTTTAAAGTTCAACAACAGGTTTGAAGTGTCAGGTCTACAAAAGCAGAATCATGACTCTCCCTCCCCACTCACTTGATCTGCTCTGCCATATTTAGAAGTACTTTTAAAAATAATGTGAATGAGACTCTGCACAGTTACTTCAGGTGAACTTGAACTCATATAATTAACTGTATATGAGTTGTAAAAAATATTTGCTGAGACTGCATGCAGATTAGTATGGGACTCAGGCCTTAATTGCTGAAGGTCATTCATGCTCTCCGTAGCAAGGCGACTGGGGGTTACAGAATGCAGTCCAAAATCATCCCATGGCATCCTTTTGCAGACATTGATGAATGCGCAACCGGGAGGCACAGCTGTGCCAACGACACAATTTGCTTTAACTTGGATGGTGGCTATGACTGCCGGTGCCCACACGGAAAGAACTGCACAGGAGACTGTATCCATGAAGGCAAGATCAAACACAATGGACAAATTTGGGTGTTAGAGAATGATAGGTGCTCTGTCTGCTCCTGCCAGGTAAGTTTTACCCTAGTCACCAGGAGATATCATGGGGGAGGGAGGATGTGGGAAAAAACAGAAAAGGACTGAAGACAGAGGTGATAGAGGATAAGCCAGAGCTATTATTGTCATTGATTAAAACTGAAGCAGTTAAGATTAGCAGTATCACCAGGGCAACCTTAATGAAGCAAACAAAGGCCCTCTCTCTAGCCACCCGAGCTGGCATTACCACTGAAATAAGAATATTACCTTCAGTGAATTAAACCTCATTCTTACTTGAACAATTATGTTATAATTTGCACATGGTATTTACAAATAAAATCATTTCCTTTTATTAAATAGTGCTATAATTTTGCAAATGGGTTAATGAAATTTTAAATATTTACTTTCCCCATTGTAATGATCCATCATTTTAACTATATGGTGCTGTGTCTTGAAATGGTAGAGTGGATATGTGTTGTGTCGACGAATGGTCTGTGATTGTGAGAATCCAACTGTTGACTTATTCTGCTGTCCTGAATGTGACCCAAGGCTCAGTAGTCAATGTCTACATCAAAATGGGGAGATCTTATACAATAGTGGAGACACCTGGGTGCAAAACTGTCAACAGTGCCGATGCTTGGTAAGTCTTCCTACTACAATAGACAATTAAACCAAAATGCTTTGCAAAAATTGTGATAATGTATAATTCTTAATTGGGCTTTTATTACATGTACTTGCTTCAATAAGTTTTATATAATTAACATTTCTACTGCTTAAATGATCTAGACTACAGTTTCAGACCTATAGTTAATACACATCTAATCACAAAATAAAAATCTATTGCTCATAAAAGAATATTTGACTTAAGCAACAGATGGAGATCATACATCTCATGAACAGAAATGATGTTGCGTGATCAATCATGGTTGAAAGGACAAAGTGACATCACTGAAACCTGATGAGTACTCTGCAAATATTCATTCAAAGTAATAAAACCGACTCAGATTGCACAAAGAAAATTTATACTCTAGCTTCACCTGAATTGCATAAGGAGCAAGTCAAACCAATCTATGTACCTTTTATGTCTACTGAGATTAATGAAGCTACATGTACAATGTAGTGTTTAATTCTTTTGATGTCAATGTGATCTAAACATGTTCATTAAAAAAAAATTAATTGTTCAGTGCCCATTATTCACCATTAGCACTTGTAAACAAATTAGCAGTACAATCTTCCACTAAGTTTATTCAGAAATGGCAAGTGGCCATGCACCTAATTGTAACCAGGGAATAGATTGGTGAATTGGGCATGTTTCATTATTGGAAACAGTGAACTACTTTTTTCCCAGCTATGAGAATGCTAATAGGAATCCTGATGGCAAGAAAATGTGCTTGGCCAGAAAATGGCCAAATTTACATTTCTCTTTTGATACACATAAATAGAAATCAGTAGGTTTCAGCTCAGGAAAGATGCATGTTTGTATGGTATATAGACACCTATAGGCACTCCCTATTTTGAGTTGGAATTCTGGTTAAAGCAGACTATGACTGTCATTAGCACACAAGCTAAATTATTTCATGAACACAATCCATTCGTTCTAAAAACAAAATAATGGCGGTGTTAAGAAATAATGGTTAAGTAATACAACGAACTAAGAATGCAATTACAACTGAATATTACAATGACATTATTCAACTTATTTATTTTTATTTAACATCCTCCTTCTGCACCCACAGCAGGGTGAAGTTGATTGTTGGCCTTTACCTTGTCCAGAGGTGGAGTGTGAATTCAGTGTACTCCCTGAGAATGAGTGTTGCCCTCATTGTGTCACTGACCCCTGCCAAGCAGACACAATTAGGAACGATATCACCAAGACTTGCCTGGATGAAACAAATGTGGTTCGCTTCACTGGATCTTCTTGGATTAAGCATGGCACAGAATGTACCCTCTGCCAATGCAAGGTAGTGGAAAACTAAATGAAGCTTGAATGGATCTTTTACAGCATGTTTTAAATAGGAACCTGCTTAGGCTAGTCAATGGGAGGCACACTTCTGCACTGGAAATGGAAAATATTCAGCATTGTTCATTTCAGTCTTTTGAACCAGGGGAAAAGAGCAGGTACTTGGATAATGGTTCAGATGCACCAGGAGGGCAAAATTCTCATAGCACAACATGCATATTTGAGTAGAATTAGCAAACTCATTCTTTTTTACAAAAAATATTAACTCTGGTGTGATGGCTGATAGTTAGCATCCTTTTTTCCATTTTAAATTTCAAATCATTTCCCAAGATCTATAAGATATAACCTTCTACTAAAACATGTAAAGGAAACTACTTTGTACTGAGAGGCACAATACTGGAGAAATCTTAAAGTTTTGTGATAATCAAACACTTTTAAGTTCTGGAATAGCAGAAATTGAAAACTGTCATGGCTTCCTTGCCTTAAACATCAACGTGAAGGAAATAAGATCCACATCCATAATTTGGGGCTTTAGTATTTCTCAGGATTAAAAAGAAACATTTATCCCAAGAAGACTGATGGGTGGCCCAGAGCTTGCATGGTTGCTGAAACTTTAAATATATGTAGAAGGAAAAGAAATAAAATACTTTGAATTGCATTTTGCATTATGCTCATGGAACTCAATCAGGCAGTAGTTTTCACCCTTTTTCCCTGTCTACCTAACTCACCTCAATAAACAGAGTGCAGAATTAGCTACTCTGAAGAGGGACTAGCTCCTCTTTTCAGTACTGTCAGCCATTTGGCATCTTCCATATAGTTTAGATCTATACAGGTTTATTTGAAAATAACTCCTACAAGTTCAGTGGGTTTGTTTTCAGTTAAGTTTCTATAGGATTCCACATTTATGCTATGTGAGAGTAAACACTATTGAACACAGTGGGCTTATTTCTTAGTGTGCATGAATGGGGTTGTACTGTCAGTCTTACAGGATAAAAAAGAAAGGCAGATGTAGTGCTAGCTAATGAAGACTAAGATCCCTGCAGTGTAGGTTGATTGTTATCTCTAAATAGTGCTGGAATTGTCCAGATTCCCATCTCTTAAGAACACAAAATAACCCATTGCGAATCAGACCAAGGTTCCATGTAATCCAGAATTCCGTTCACACTACTTCCTGGGGAAACCCCTCAAGAGGGGCATGCGTGCAGCAGCAGCCTCTGACTCAAATTGCCCAGCAACTGGTGTTCATAGTCAGACTGCCTCTGCACATAGTCAGTAAGATGGGTAACCATTGGTAGCCTCCTCCTCTACAATTTGTCCAGGCCCCTTTTAAGGCTGTCCAAATTGGTAGCCATCATAACATCTTGTGGAAGTAAATTCCATAGGTTAAGTAAGTGTTTTGTAGAGAAACACTTCCTTTTCTCTGTCCTGAATCTTCTGTCTGTCAACTTCATGGGATGTCCCTGGGTTCCAGTATCACAAGGAAAGAACAGAAATGTCTCCCTATCCACATGTACTTGTAGTACTACTCCTTTACATACAATCACATTAAACAAAAAGATTGCAAGTTACTCTTGCCCCTTACAGTAGTCCAATGTATGTTGGATATGTAACCTGAAAGTGGGAACATATTTCCATATGTGGTGGGAGTGTAAATATATTAATAAGTTTTGGAAAATAGTTTTCAAAGAAATTAGTAAAATATTGAATCTAACTATTGAATTCGACCCTGAACTTGCATTATTGTCTCTGTTAAGAGAACAATTGGGACAAATTATTTAAGAACTGGTGACAAATTTAGTAACAGCAGTAAGAGTAATAATAGCAAGGAACTGGAAAGTAAAAGGTGATTATGAAATCAATGATTAGTATAAAGAAGTCTGGAATATAGCTATTAATGATAAGTTAACTTGAGATATTAAGTGGAAAATAGGCTTGATAAAATAATTTTGAAGATATTTGGAAATTGTTTATTGAATATGTTTTAATACAGAGAAAGGGGTATGATCCATCACAGGATTCAAGGAGGTTCTGGAAGGGAAATGAGGCAACCAGAATGAATAAATAATTTTACATTAAGTAGCATGTATTTGTTAGTCTTGGTGTAAGGTAGCACTGCTATTATTGTATTGGTTAGTTATGATCATCATTATTAATTTTATTATTTGTATTGTTTTATATTTGTGTAAACTATGAGTTTTGTTTTTTAAAAGAAAAAAAATTAAAAAGAAGAATAACTGGTTAGCAAGTTTAAGCATTCTAAATCATAAGTGTTTACATTACCTTGACACTGAATATGTGCTGGCTTGCTTCCTGTACATTACAATAGCATTTCATTAAAAATAATGTAAGTATTTCAGCTTTTGAGTTTTAAAACAATTCAAATGGGTCATGCAAATTAGGTTAATACCACACTATTCAATGTGTAGTGTGGAAATCTAAAATAGAATTTTAATGCCCCCAACATTCTTAGAGCATATCAAGTGGAAGACCAAAGCTGCAGGATAAGCCTCTCTAGCCAAACTACAGCAAAATAGGTTTATACAAAATCCTTAAAGAATTAGAAGAACCAGGAATCAGCTAAAGCTGCTTTATCCACAAAACCATTTTAAATTGCAAGTGGAGAACTGCAACTAGTACCACAGCCCTGGTTCTCTAGGGTCCTGTCTTACAAGAAGTCATGAAAATAAGGAACAAAAAGACTAAATGTACCGCTAGGCAAACTTACTTGGTGGTACAGGCAGAATAGCATATTACTCCTAACAAAGAGATGCTCCCAGCTGTAGCAACTTCATGTTAATATATTTTCCCTTCTCCGTGATGTGCAAGCATGCTTATCATGCTTTTGACATTCTGTTCTCTCTTTCTGCATAGTCACCAGCAGCAGCTAATGATGTGAAGGCAGGAAAATACATAATGTGGTAATGTCATATAGCACAGAGAAGTGTGCTGTCCTAAACAGTAAAGGAAGAGAGGCTGACACATGAGTGCTATTTTCACTGCAACCCTAAGCAGCCTCCTTAGCATCTATTGAAAGCAAGTCCATGTGGTTAGAATGGGCATGTAAATGGATCTGGATTACTTTTTCTTTAATTCTCCATCACTGATTTCTGTATTAACCAGGTTGGAAGAGAGAAATGAAAATAATTTATACCATCCCTTTTTAAATAGTTTGTTCAGCCTCAGCTGTTCTACTTATAAACAGTATTGGATGCAGGAGGACAACCTAGTCTGGACTGCTCAGATCCACATATGTTGATTTATTTATCTAGAACACTGACGTCAGAATCTTTTTCCTTCATGGAATTCAGGATGGCATGCATTAGGGTCCCTGTAGTTTCTTACCTGGGCACTGACCCAACTCTTCTCTGCTTAGCTTCTGCAAGATGGCTGCATCGTTTCCTTCAGATCATGCCCAGGGACACAGGCAGAAAATGTTGCATAAATTTCAGGAGAAATGTTGCCTAAATAACAGGCCAATTTGCAAGCTGCATGGCCAAAAGCTTATTTAGTCTTGTTTGATGGGATATACAGCTCAGTTTACAACTCTGTTAAACCAAGTTGCAAGGATTTCAGCTAATTTAAAACCTAAATGCTTCAGTTTAATTAGGTTCTAGGCCTGGCTATCCATCTCTTGTACTTTAGCTAAACTGAGGTTATAGAATCTTAATTTGCTACTTTGATTAAACCACACTTGCAGTTTCATGGAAACCCTAAATATGTCAGGCACGTAAATAGCTTCTGGATAAACCAATTCTGGCAAGTAAGGCTCACTTCCTGATAGCCAGTCGGGAAGCATTTTAAAACTGAGAAGTAAACGATGTATTTTAAAAATGGAGTTCTTTCTCAGTATGGGTTGACAATGATGCTTTGCTGTGTAGGCCAGCCAGAATATGCAGTAGCATAATCAAAGGGATCTTGGGCATTCACTCTCACTATAAGCAACCAGACCACACTATGTAAGCATGTCTTTGTGGGCTGGATTAGTCTCTTCAGCAACCATATGCTTGCACGGAGGCTGAGTGAGGTCCCGCATATTCACCCCCATGGTCAGTTCAGGGCAAGGATCCCCTTCTTCTCTTAGCCTCTCATCTGTGAGGACAACGTGTTTGATCAGCAAACTGCCTCACTGGCCACTGCTGTTGGCCTATATTCTACTCCCTGTCTTTCCAGCCTGTACGGTCAACTTTTCTTTTCTGTTTGCAGGTAGTTAGTCATGTGCATTGAATGCTCAAAGGATACATGAAGCAGGCTGCATTCCCATTCTTTGTTCATCCTACAAGTTTGCAGCAGACTTTCTACAGACAGCACCACATGTGCAGAAAATGCTTCCTTAAACTTGTCCGCTTTAAGGGTAGATTCTGCCTACTTCATAGGTGCACCATTCCCCAACCCACTGCCCTTGGGCCAGCTCTCATCATTTCACTCCAGTAGGGCTGTTGGCAATGCTAGCTAGGCATGAGAGGCAGCACAGTCTAATGCACCTGAAGGACACCAGGTTGGAGAAGACTGCTGTAGATTATTGTATGCTTGCAAGGGGCTCAAATGTTCTTTGTACATGTTCAGAAGGTAATGACATATATAGTTAGGGTGATACCAGGCAGAACTGAATGCAGCATTATTGTACAGGAAGTGTTAGTAAATTAAATCCTCCTGCATTTTAGTGTTTCTCCAGGCAGATTAGTAAAAATGTTTGTGCATAGTTTAAGCAAATCTGTATGGCAGTCTGTAAATTGCTTCTTTTTTCCTTTTTCTTTTTCTTTCCTCCTACAGAATGGTCACGTTTGTTGTTCAGTGGACCCACAGTGCCTTCAGGAACTGTGAAACTAATGACCCTGTATCACAGACAGTTTCTGCTGAAAGAATTTTTCTTCACAAAAGACTCATCAACCAAAAATTGTACAAAGCCCAGACTGGAGCAGGATCAATTTTGTCCAATTAAAGTGCAGGAATGTTATAAATTGAATGAGCTGTCAGTCCCCTCAGTCTGAATGCAATGTGTAAGACTAGGAACAAGTTCAGATGTATAAACCTGTGTTTGGGTGTGAGGTTCACCTTCTGCTTCATTTTGTGTTTGACATCTTTATGTAAGATATTGGCTAACAAGGAAAGGGGAAATAACTGATGGAACATAAAGATGTCAAATTCTCAAGCAGGGAAAGCTTTCTAGTTTTGAAAATACACCTCATCCATGACCACAGAGATTTTTTTTTAACCCAGCAATATCTGAATCTACATCAAGGTTTATGTTTAACCAACCAATAGTTGAATCTACACCAGAAGTTTCCAGAAATCTGGATAAAGCAAACTAACTTCTGGAAATGTAGAAAGTTGTTGCAACATGTGTACAGCTCCAAAAAACTGATTCCAGATACTATAAAAATAAATGAAAATAAGAAAATGCACAGGCATGACTACTTAATGTTTTCTGATGGAAAGCTGTATTTCCTCATTCAACTGCACTTATTTCTTGATTGAATTTGTTCAGTATAAGCTCGTTCTTGTGCGAAATTTAAATAAATATTTCTCTTACCTTATGTTTGGAGTATGTCCCTCTTGTGAGTTACAAAATATTTGAGCATCTTCCCTCACATGAATCATATAAGGAAGAAAACTGGAATGCCACTCACTCGGCCCCCTCCTCCCTTGTTTCACCATCACCCACTCCCCAGTCTTCCACATGCTGGACAGGAAAGTTTTGAAGTGGAACCCTGCTGTACCAGTGAAGGCTTTCCACCTGATTTAAAACCGGGTGGGGAAGCTTTCTGCTGAGGTGCAGTGGGACTTTTTTGACATGTAGTCCCCACAGGAGGTTGCAAAATGTAGGCAGCTCTGTGGATCTATTTCAACAAACTTGTTCCAGCAGTTTTCATCTACCAGTAGAAGCTCTTTTGTAAAGCTACTGGGTCTTAATTGGCCTGTCAAGGTCAAGGCAACAGGGAACAATATATAGTGGCTGAAACTAGTCATCCCTCTCCTCAGTTATGGTGAAAATTTCAGTTATCAGATGGATCAGGGAATTCTGGGCAGGGAGGTGGGGTTGGCAAATGAGTCCAGTGTCTCTGCTAATCTAAAAGTGCCAGGAATGCATCCCTGTAAGTCCTGGCTGCACCACACCACTGGGGAAGTCTACACATGTGCATCCCCTGCAGACCTTTCCTGTGTAATACAGAAGAAGAGTAGTCATGGGTGACTGGAATGGGACAGAGAGGACAGGTTCTGTGAGTTCAGTCCTGCTGTCTCTTCGCATATGATCATTACTGAATGAGAGAAAGAGAGACATGCTTCCGCTCCTTGTGTACCCGTTCTTCTATGTGGAGTTCCCTGTTTAGTGTATTTTAAAAGGGGGGTGTCTACTGAACTTACCTCAGTCGATGTAAATGGAACTTGTGAAGCAGAGGATGTGTTACAATGAAGTTTGTTAGATAAATATGACTCCAGGGAGGTAGCTTGCACTACAATCCTGATCGTGTTTACTCACAATTAAATCTTAGCCATAGGCTACATATTATTCTTCCTGCATAGTTCTACACTTGACTGCAGTTTACTTTTTCTTTCTGTTAAAAATCGCAGTGCTTGGCCTCTGATATGGATCAATCATCTTGTACGGCAATAGAGAAACTTTAACCCTTAGCTTCCAGTGTAATACTGATCCAGTTGGCATTTTCTTTGTTTCAGTCTGCAATTTGCATTGCCAAGAAAGTATCCATTGGCATTCTGAACTTTACCACTCCACTTAACAGATCAGATCCAGGTTATATAGGAGGGAAAAAATGCAAATCATCACCATAATAGTGTTTCATTTTTCACAAACTCGTATTAGGTCAATATTGCTACTAAACTGGATATAATTTAATACAGCATATTTTAAAATGCTTTGGTGTCTAGCTATTTTGAAAGTACATTTTGCTGAAACAGAGTGGCCTTATATTTTCATATACATGCATGAATCTTTAATATTGACAGTGGGAAAGCGCCAGTGAAGTCTTTGGGAAGCTTTGTAAGTGAATTGGAACAAAGGGAAACCAAACTAAGCTTACTGGTCTAATCCAAAAGCCATGTGTTGGGCTTGCAGTCCTGTTTCAGCGCTACATCCCTCAAAGGCCCTCATATGGCTCTTGGAATGTGGCAGAGTTAAAGTCTGCAAAAAAGACACTGAGTTTCCAGACTCAGAATGAGCTTGCAAGCATTATTTTGGAGCCATTATCTGAGAAGTCCTGAACAACAGGTGAAGTGTCAGAAGACTGGAATAATGACCCCACCATTACTCATTTCGTCCTAAACCCGCAGCTGACCTTGATTCAGGAAAGCACCATAGTTGAGGACTGGAATGCAGAATGAAATATTTATTTTGCCTTCAACATTTGTGTTTCTGAAGCCACTTGCTTCAGTTGATCACAGGAATTGCTAGAGTGGAAGCATATTCACAAGCTAAAAGTTCAGTACTGAGATTTTCCTTTAAAACAACAAAAATGCTGAAAGTATTGCCATTTTCTGAAGAGTAACCACTTTGAATAAGCTTGCCTGCAAATAAATAAATGGTCAATATCCCAAGTTGCAAAATGTTCTTTCAGTGTTTTTAAGCACATAATGCCAACATTTCAGAAACTCAGTGGAGCTACTGCTAATTAGTACATTTTCCTTCTTGGAAATTTTTCCCATTATATAACATTCAAGTATAAAATTTCCATGCTGCTGAAAATAGTACTCACCATATTCTCCTTGACCATTTTAATGATTAAGTTCAGCAGCATAAAACTTTAATTACTACATATCAGTATAATCTATCACATTATATTCTGTCCATTAAGAGCAGCCATATACCATTACCATGTTCTCAAAGAGTTTCCTCTCACTAATATCTTTTTACCATTCACATATTTCTCTGAAAGAGAATTCTTTTTCTTTTTTAAATGTCTCTTCATGCATCAGATGGGCTACATGTAATTATGAATATCACAAAAAAATCATAAGGCATTTCTTCTCTTTTCTGAGTCATTCTTGAAAGCAGAACCGTAGTAACTGATATGTGTCATCAAGGCTAGGATATAGCACTATATAAAGCAGTACTTTGATGGCAATAAAATTAAGATTAAATTAAATTAAAATAATAGAACTGTTGTTCTACAGGGTAATTCAAATTCAGGAGGTCTAGTGTCCTAATACTTTGAACACCAACTCCCATCAGCCTAGCTGGTATGGCCAATGATCACAGATGCTGGGACTTGTCCAGAACTTCTGGCGGGCACCAAGTAAGCAAGGTGAGAGATGTATGGATGCATGAATACAGTTTGCAGATTGCTAGGCAGCTTTTGTTCCATTGTTCAGACATTGACAGAATCAGATTTTGCACAAATCCATTCAAAATGAATTCACAAATTCCCCCAAATATGCAACTCTCCCAGTGTGTATTTTCATATATGGGGAAATGCAAGTGTCCATATATGAAAGGAAGGGGTAAATCATAGTTTTGATGATTTTTAAATATTTTTCTATGACTAAATGTACATATAATTAAGGCAAAAAACCCTGCTTCTAGAATGTGAATTAATGTGGAAAAGCTGGTCTGGTGCAGAATCTTAGAAATCTCACTCATTTGAGTCCATTATGGATTTGTATGTCATCCATCGGGAAGGCAAATAATATAAGCAACTGTGAAATAATAAAAATACCACTTCACGATAGAAGTAAATGGCTTGATTACTCTAGATTTCATAAGTGGTGGTTCAATATATCAACCGATTCCATTTCATTTAAATGCACTGAGCTTGGTTTAAAAATTCCCTTTCTTCAACAGAATGCATTTCCTTTAAAGGGAATATTTTGAAGTGAAAGTTGACCCTCTGATTGGGTATGAAATGCATCCTTAAGTTAATTCAGTTACTGAGAGTTGAACATGTGTACAAAGCCATCCACAGATACATCACATTCTTGCCTTTGTTGCAGAAATATCGAATTCAGAGTTAGAAAGATCGAAATACCATCTAATCTATTCCTTTCCACAATGTTCCATCCACCACTCCCTCAAACATGCATTTACCTTGATGCTAGCTGGCCATTAACCAGTTTAGTCTCACAAATCAGGTATTTTCAATTCATGTCAATCTTGCAATCAAATAAATAAATAAAATCACCATATGGCCATCAGAATGCTTCGATGCTCCACAGCAATGCTGTGGGTATGTGTTCAGGTTCTTTCTTCCTGAACTTTTCTATCGACTGTTATGGTGATGTAATTCTTTTTGCTCTATTACAACTTTTTCCTTCAGAAATACTCTACATGGCTTTCATTCTGCATGGATCACTGCACCCAGTTCATCAGGTAGTCAGTGAGTGCATATTATAGCACACTAATCTGAAGATTAATCCAAGAGCATCCATTGCCGTACACCTTCTGGGACTCCCACTATCCTGCAAATCAGTAGTGTAACTAGTGTTGAACCTTGTTGCCCAAGTCCAGAACCCCAGCCTGCTCAACGCCGTTTTTAAAAAATCATCTTGGCAAGCAATTTTGATGTTGTTATTCAAGAATGAAGAGGCTGTTCCCAAAGATGGACGAATGGTCAGGGACCAGCAAGTCCCACATCCACATGATCATCTAAAGTGTTTCCCAGTAAGACCATTAAGGGTGCAAAGCTATGCATGTTTAGATGGAGAACAAGTCCTACAATTCCCAGCATTCTCCAGCAGGGGATTGCTGGGGATTGTAGAGGTCTTTCTGCCTAAATATGGATAGGACTGTACCTTAAGTTCAAGATCTAAAATTGCCCAGCTGAATCACTACTGGTGATGAGGGAATTCATGTTAGCAGTTTGATGAGGCAA